TTCCCGGAAATTCAATATATAGCTGCAAAGATTTTATTTTTTAAAAAAAGGGAGAAAGAAAAGACGGACAAGAAAAAGATCCAAGGGGAGAATGGCCACAGCAACATGACCTTTGCAGCCAGCTCTTGAACCCCAAATGGGCCTCTCCTTCCTTCCTTTGATGCCTACTTTCGAGAAGACAAAGATAGAAATAAAAAGAACACGAGCATACACAGTCTACAGAATTTAAGCAAACGTCTGTAGAATCTTAAATGATTAATGGAAAACTCGTTTAAGTTTCCAGAGCATCTTTCTCTCACTCTAAATTTTAAAAGCGTGCAATGTAAGTTCTGTGTACTCAGGTCAAGTTGAAGGGTGTCATAATCTACCCCCCCAAACGACTGGCAAGTATATGAACTGATCAGATCTGCGGGGTCCTATTTTTCTGTTACTTTCTGTTAAGATCCTAGAGCATTAGATACAAAGTCGATATCCATGGCATCTCAATGATCAATTTCCTTCTCTCAAATGTATGATAATGAATCCATGTAAGAACGAAAAATCTTTCTACTTTATGCTCTGTCAAAGGCCAGTACGTGTCTTTATGGATACAGTTCCTACGAGAAGGGGAGGGGTAAGTGCCTGAGGAAAAGTTCCAAGTACAGTTTATACAAAAGTACAATATTAGAAAGACTTCCATAAATCATTCTTTAGTAGATTTCCTTAACTATCACATTTTTCAAAAGTAAACAAATTGGGCTATATTTGCAGTAACTCAAAGTGCAGCATAAATTTAAATGATGTATTTGTTCTGCTCACTGATAGGAGGCTAATGTTACCTTAATATATTAGCTCTTCCTGTCAAGAGCTATTTACATATGTACATTATTTCAGTTAAAAATAAAATGTGATACCATAAACTATATTTTATAGGAAAGCATAAGAGAAGCCAAATGTGCAAGTCTATTAAAGACTTAAAAGCTTCTAATAAACTACTTGATGTGTGTGGGGGGCGGGCGGGGGGGGCTTAAATAATCTGGTCTGCCGGAGAGAGGGCAGTCTGATGTTCTGGAGGCCCCACCCCCAGCCAGCCACCTGGTTCCACCACCTTGGCCCGGACCTCCTGATCAGGCAGGGAGGGGCGCAGAAGCATGGCGCCTGGCCCAGGTGAAGTCCCTGTGACTGTGGGAGGGGGGGAAGGGGCCATCTGAGTGCCCGCCCTCAAAGTTTCAGGAATCTTTCCTCCCCCGGAAGGTGTGACACAATCAGACCCCCCGACAAACTGGGGTGAGCAGTCCGTGCCGCGTGCGAAGTGCCCAGAGCGTGCGCGACCACAGAGGGGTTAGTTCCGCTCTTCTAGCACACGGCTGTCTGCAGTACTCCGCCGCTCGGGTTGGAGAGTGGCAAAAAAGGACACGTCTGGGTCCGGGTCAGACTGCAGGGCCAGGACGGTCTCTTCAATGACTTCAAGATGAGGGTTACCGGCATTTCTCAAATACGCTAAAGACAGAAAACAGTAGTTGGGCTCGCGTGTGCCACGAACTGTGCTCCAACACAGACTCGCGTTTTGGGTTTTTCTGAAACCACACCTCAGGACAATAAATCCTTCTTCCCAGAATAATCACACACACAGGGCCTCACAAAGATAAAATGATTGCCTCCATCAAAGGGTATTTCTTAAATTTCAAAGATGAAAGAATGGGTAGGTATGCACATTTTTAAAACTGTAGTTCAGAAATGTTCAATGTCATGTCTTCTCCCCGCCGCTACAAAATAACTGACAGTGTGTGGGAGGGAAGGGGCAAGGAAGGTACGTTCGGGGACAGGATGCTCCGCCCCACCCGTGGCTTAGATGTGAACGTGTCATCCGAGGGACACAATCTAAAGTTAAGTCCTGTTCAGGCTGAGCTCGACATTCTTCTGACTACAGAATTAATACCATCAAAACCTCAGCGTAATTAAGGCTTACATTTGCTGCCTTTCATAACGTCTGTGTCCTAAGTCGACGTTTACAAAAGTTTCCCGCATTTCTAGAACACGGCGATGTTTTTCATTCTAGCATTACGTTCACTAAATGTGAAAACTGGACCACATTCATTTCCTTAGTCATTTTCTAAACAACGAACGATTCTGCATAAAAGTGAGTACATCAAGTTATATAATAAGTCTGAAGTTTGCTATCATGCAATCTGCCACAATCTCCTAGAGGAAATCTAGCTGCTGCCCGATGAAGTTTCTAAAACGTGTAAGTTCAGAAAAGCGGTCCACATACCCTTTTCCAACAGCGTCTGCCGCAGAGCTCTGGCTAGTAAAACTCTCACGTTGGGCACAGGATCTGACACGAGGCTTAAAAGACTGGGGAGTAAGTGTTCGACAAACTGGTCTGCGGGGACACACTCCTCGCTCACCACCGCCTGTGATGGAAGAAAACCACAGCCAAAAATTGATATTCAAGAGTGATCAGCACGTTTTTTCTAAAAACGTACACTTCTCTAATTCCAAGCCTAACTTGGTCACTTACTAGCTTCACAGCTTTGAGTACATGGCTTCACCTGTCTGGGTCTCAGTTTCCTCATCTGTGCAATGGGGAAGTGATGGGCAGGGCAGATCGCTTCCGCAAAGAATCTAGCAAAGCGCCCACCTGTTAAGGTTAAGAACCCTCACCTTTGTTACTCACCAGACCTCAGGTTCTGAGGGCAGGGACCACACCTGTCTTATCGACAGCCCAATCCCCATCTCCAATCCAGGCCGGGCCCTCTGCGAATACCCAACAAACACCGCCTCCGGGATGATCACCAGCACCTGCCCATCGCCACTCTGCTTACAGAGTCCCGTCTCATAGCCAGCCACGGGAATCAGCACAAGCCTAGTTTTACGGGTGAGGAAATTCTGGTCCAAAGTGGCGACGCCCAAAGGTCTCCCGATTCCAAGCTGAGCGTGTGGCTTCTAAGTCCTATACATCTTCCCACTACAGGGTAACAGCTGACATTTATTAAGTGCCTGGCAGTGTGCAAGGGGAGTCAAATGCATCAGTTCATCCCCATCTGCCACATGGGCCCTCACTAAACCCCAGGTCAGGATCGGTCCCTGGAGCGGCACTGAAATTGCCATCAAATGACCCTTTCCTTTTGTCTGTCTTTCTGTGGGTTTTCTAAATCTTTAATAATTAATTCGTGAAAGCACATACACATTGATTTTTCTTGAACAAAATTAGCTGGGTGTTTCTTCCTTTTATCTCATCATGGATTTTCTAAATCTCAGATGGAGAACTAAAAAATAAAAGCAAAGGTATCTCATTCGCCCTTTCATCACAAAATGACCTGGGGCACTGACTTCTTCTTTGCAGAAATCTGTGGCGTCAGGCCTGCCGTCTGTTGAGTTTGGCACCGAAATCCGTCAGTCACTGCACTTTGAAAAGCTGACCCCCAAAGTACCGTGTGATGACCCTCCAGCCCAACAGGGGGCCCTGGTGAGTCCCTCAGTGGGGGAAGAGGGTGTGAGGGAGAGAAAGGGGGCTTTGGGGCTTGGGTGAGCTAGAGTCCCATTACAGCTGGACTGTAATATGGACAGAGCAGGGCGAGGGGTTCATGCAGAGTCATGCCATCCCCTCCACCTTTGTACACGCTTGAACATGTGCATGGGGACACATTAAAACTTCTCAAATAACACGTTAGCGGGAAAAGAAAAAACCACGGCTTTATGCTTCCTGTGTGATTTTGGCTGACTCACTTAACCTCTCTGGGCTTCAACTGCTTCCCCTCCAAGAAAAAAAAAAAAACAAAACTGGTCTGAAAGTACCCAGGTGTGAGGTGCCTGACACACGGCACCTCTTGCCACTGAGGATCAGATGTCGTGTCTGAGCCGGTACCTGGCACGCAGAAGCATTCCAGAAGTGGCAGCCATCAGCCCCAGGCAAACCTCGACCCCACCATTTCCAGGACACTAAGTAGGGAGGGTGCCCAGGAGCTGGACCGGCTGACGTGAACTTCCCTGCAGAGATGAAATGGTCTCAGCCCCAACCCTACTGCTCTATTCTTCACCGCAGCTTCCCTCCAAGGCAGCTGGCTGAGGGGAGGTGCCACGATGGCCACTGCCCTGGACAGGGCAGGGGGGAGCAGGGCTGCGGGCCCGGCCCTCACCTCACCGGAGGGGAAGTGCTGCTGGGAGAGCAGGAGCGAGTTGGCTCCGCACCGTCTAGAACGTGCCTGGCACACGGCAGGCGTTCGGTCAACACCTTCAGGACGAATGCACAGACGGGCTGGGGAAGCCCGGGCAAATCATTCTGCCTGACCGGGTCGGCCGCAATCTCCCGTGAGATCAAGGGGTTCGTTCGGTGCACTGATCTCCAGATGCCTGGCTGGTGTCCTATGTCTGACGCATCTGATATCAGTCCGTGGCAACGCAAGAAAATCCCAGCGGAGAACCCTGCCCCGCCCGGCCGCCCCAGGCCATGCTAACCTGACAAATGAAAGCGAAAGCTTGCCTTCCAACCCACTTAGCACAGTGCCGGAACCTTACGATGAGCTCATGGACGAAAGCTAACCCCAACGCACTTTCACTGTGTGAATAGAACTTCTGCAGAATGGCCACAACCTGTGACAAATATCAGAAGAGCACATTTAAAATGCTGCCATCTATTTGAATTATGAATCCTACTCTACGTGGAGACTAGACATCTGTATGGCTCTTAAAATGAATTTATAAGCATGGGAGAGGGTAATTTTTGTCACGGTAATCATTAGAACACAGAGGAAAAAAGACTTGTGCAATACACATACACTCACACATGTAGAACCCTTCTGAAAATGAAATTCAAAAAAGGACTAGCATTAGAAAAATACATTCTTAATCTTAAGATTTCCAAATTTTAGGAAACGTCCTCTTGCATAATAACGAAATCATTACCTTTCGGAACATGCCACGTTTGCAAAATTTTAATACCATCAGGGTACCTTAGTAAGACAATATTTCCAAATGAGATTCGATCCCCCCACCCAGTATTCAGCTGGTTATAAGCCCAGGTAAGAAACAGGATAAGCCTTTTTTTCCATGACAGCTTTTGCTTACTAACTACTTTTCTACAAAACCATGCCATAGGGTTAAGCCCAGCCTGTGTTTAAGGAAACACTAAGCCATCATTTACAGGGTCTCATATAGAAAATGATTTATCCACAATTTCTATCACTGAAGCATACAGCTTAAGAAAAAGGCTATCTTACGTGCTGATAAAACCATAATGCAGTTCCTAATTTCAAATTTAAAAGCTGGCTTCATAGGTATACTGAAGAATCAGCCCCGGAAAGTAAAGGGGTTGCAATGGAAGAAACAGAAATGTTCCTATTTCCAAAAATCACAAACAAACAGACAAACAAAAAAGCCACGATTCCTTACAAGCTTGAAGGAGATCCATCGAACTTCAGAAACTTTATCTGCACACAACTTCAAGGCAATATGCATTAAATAATCATAAACATCATGGGGATTATAGAGTTCCAAAATGAGTATCAGCTGTCTGAAGAAAGAAAAAAAAAGGAAATTGGTTTTTAGGGCAAAAAAAAAAATACCTTACTAATGTCTCCTTACTCTCATTTCATTTTATAGATAAAAAGAGCCGGGCTGGGAAGTTAAGGGCACACGTGGACCTAGCGAGGCTTTCCGTCAGTAAAATGCCAAAAGCAGAAAGCCGAGGGAAATACCACGCAAAATAAAGTGGAAAAAGAAAATCGTCTGTCTTCATCTCACCCAAACGAATCCAACAAAAAGGAAATAAATTAAACTTTGTAAAACAGAGGCAGAGAAATTTATGAACAGGGATAATATTTCAATTCTGGGTTATCAGTTGGAAAGCACATAAAACTCTGAAAAATCAGATAACATAAAAATAGCCAGAACGCTGAAGTTCCCAGAGATCAACAGATCAGGGGAACCTCCGAGGAGCCTCGGCTTTGTTCCCCAAGCGGCCGGCAGGCAGCTCGAGCCCG